GCCTCTTGATGAAAGTGAAAGAGGAGAGTGAAAAAGCTGGCTTAAAGCTCAACATTCAGAAAACTAAGATCATGGCATCTGGTCACATCACCTCGTGGGAAATAGATGGGGAGACAGTGGAAAGTGTCAGACTTTATTTTTCTGGGCTCCAAAATCACTGCAGATGGTGACTGCAGCCATGAAATTAAAAGACGCTTACTCCTTGGAAGGAAAGTTATGACCAACCTGGATAGCATATTAAAAAGCAGAGACATTACTTTGCCAACAAAGGTCCATCTGGTCAAGGCTATGGTTTTTCCAATGGTCATGTATGGATGTGAGAGTTGGGACGGTGAAGAAAGCTGAGCACCGAAACATTGATGCTTTTGAACTGTGTTGTTGGAGAAGACTTTGGAGAGTCCCTTGGACTGCAAGGAGATCAAACCAGTCCATCCTAAAGGAGATCAGTCCTGGATGTTCATTGGAAGGACTGATGCTGAAGCTGAAACTACAGTACTTTGGCCACCTCATGTGAAGAGTTGATTCATTGGAAAAGACCCTGATGCTGGGAGGGCTTGGGGGCAGGAGGAGAACGGGATGACAGAGGATGAGATGGCTGGATGGCATCACCGACTTGATAGGCATGAGTTTGAGTAAACTCCAGGAGTTGGTGACAGACAGGGAGGCCTGGTGTGCTGCAATTCATGGGGTTGCAAAGAGTTGGACACGACTGAACGACTGAACTGAACTGATACTGAGGAAGAGAAAGATAAAAAGAGAGAGAGAAATAAACAGAGCTTTAGAGACCTCTGGAACACTATCAAGCATAGTAGTATATTAAAAATGTGAGTCTCAGAAGGAGAGAAGAAAAAGCGTCAGAAAGAATATTTGAATAATAAAAACTCCCCTAATTTGATTTAAAAAAAAAAATTGGTCTACCAACCCAAAAAGCTTCATGAATTTCAAATAGGATAAACTGTAAAAACAAGGAAAAAACCAGGAATATCATAATTAAACTATTGGAAAACAGAGAATCCTGAAAGCAGCAAGAGCAAAGTAACTCTTCACATATGAAGGGCTCTCAATAAGATTAACAGCTGATTTCTTGTCAGAAACCATGGAAGCCAAATGGCAGTGAGATAACACAGTCAAAGGTCTGCATAGAAAAAATTGCCACTCAAGGATTCTATATTCAGTGAAACTAGTTTTCAAAATGGAAAAGTTAGCACCTTTTCAGGTAAACATTGCTAGCAGATCTGCTGTCCAAAAAAAATCCTTTGAGTTTAAAGGATACTACTTAGTAATGCAATTCCACACAAAGAAAACACAGAACTGATAAATGTAAATACAAACACCAGCATAGGTAAATATAAAAGACAAAAAAAAACAACTATGTAATTTTTATTTGTAACTTTCCCCCCTTCTAATTTAAAAGAAAAATGCATAAATAATTATAAATCTGCCATGGAGGGCACACAATTTATAAAGCTATAATCTATGACAATAATAGCATTGGGGGTGGAGAGATAAAGCTATATAGAGCAAAGTTTTTAAAAAAATGAAAATTGAAATCAAATCTGTATTAATCCAAACTAGGTGAAACAGATCACTTTAAAATGTCTTCCAATAAAAATCTGAGGTATCATTTTTCTCTCATTTTTTCACTTGTGATTTTGGTGTCATATCTAAGAAGGCTTTGACTAAACAGTGGTCATAAATCTTATTTCTACAAGATTTAAAGTTTTTGCTTATATTTAGGCTTATAGTCAATTTTTAGTTAATTTTTGTGTATGTGGTGTGACTGCTTTTCTTAATTCTTTTTTCTGTCTGTGCTTCATATTTCAAATCTCTTATTGATCTTCATATTTGCTGATTCTTCTGCCAGTTCAAATCAACTGTTGAGCCTCTATAGTAAAGTTTTCATTTTGGTCATTGTGCTTTTCAACTCAAAAATTTTCATTTTGTTCTTTTTTTTAAATTTCTACCTTATTGATATGACACTGTTTGAATACTTAAATACTTTATATCTGGTTTTCTTTAGGTCTTTGAACATATTTATAATAGCTGCTTAACATTCACCCTACATCTGGAACCCCTCAAACGAAGTTTCTATTGCCTTTTCCCCTGGTATGTCACAGTTTCTTTGAATGTTTAATTTTATGTTGAAAACTAGACAGTTTAGTTTTTATCATTTTAGTTATTATAATAATATTACAGGATCTCTGGATACTCGTCCCCTACTCTGGACTTGTTTTTTAGTAACTTGGCTGAACTAATTCACCAAGTTTATTTCTCCCCACAGTATGCAGCCTCTGATGTCAGTGGTCAACTTGTTTCCCCCTCGGTTTTATCCTTAAGTCTGACTGCCTAGGGGTTGCTTCTCAGTCAACACTATTTAGTGATCAGCCACTAATTCATCAGGCTTCCCTAGTAGCTCAGACGGTAAAGAATCCACCTGCAATGCAAGAGACCTGGGTTCGATCCCTGGGTTGGGAAGATCCCCTGGAAAAAGAAATGGCTACCCACTTCAGTATTCTTGTCTGGAGAATTTCATGGACAGAAAAGCCTGGTGGGCTTTAGTCCATGGAATCACAAAGAGTAGGACACGACTGAGCGACTAACACACATGCACTCTGATTGATCAGAGGTTGTGCTTAAGACTCCCGAATCAGTGAGATTTATACCCTTTACCATTGGATTTGTGTATGACTTGGAATTTCTTTCACTGCTCAGGGAGTTTACAAGTTTTGCCCTACATTCAGCCAGAGTTGTTATGTGATTGCAGACTTGAGCACACACACATCCTTTCTGATTACAAGGGATGTCTGCAGTTTTATCCAGATTTTGTCTCTCTCAGCTTTAAGCTTCTCAATGATAGCTACTGGTATCATCAGCAATTGTTAGCCCTCAATAATTGCTAGATGATTGCTCTACTGTTTTCAACAATACTATAGGGTATAAACGATTCCAATCTGATCCAGATAAAGT